ATATACAACGTTCACGCCCCCGAGGCCACGACCCCTCGTGAATCATGCAACGCTCCCGTCCCGGCGGCAACGATCCCTCGTAAACTATACAAGATTCGGGCTCCCGAGATTACGATCCTCGTACGCTGCTCCATAGTTACAGCTGCGTTCTCGAGTCCACGATTCCTCTCGCTTCGCGGGACGCACGTCCGGAGCACCTGCAGTCCAGACGTTGTGGGGCCCGGTGGAAGCTTCTGTGGGGCCTCTTGGAGGCCTCTCGTGGGCTTCTTGGGGCCTCTTGGGGGCTTCTTCGGGGAGGAGGAGGAGGAGGAGGAAGAGGAGGAGGAGGAGGAGGAGGAGGAGGAGGAGGAGGAGGAGGAGGAGGGAGGAGGAGGGGGAGGAGGAGGAGGAGGGAGAGGAGGGGGAGGAGGAGGGGGGCCTCTTAGGGCCTTCTGGGGGCGTCTTGGGCCGTCTTGGGACGCTCTCGCGCCGTGCGGCTCCTTCGGAGGCCATCCCGTGGGCCTCTCGCGGCCGCCTTGGGGCTCTCTTGGGATCCTCCTGGGCCGTCTTGGGGGCCTCTTGGACCGTCCTGGGTGCCTCTTTGGGCCGTCTTGGGGCCCTTTTGGGCCGTCTTGGGGTCCTCTTGGGGGCCATTGGGGCCGTCTTGGAACCATGTTGGAGGCTGCTTTTGGCCTCTGGAGGCGGGGGTCCTCTTGGGGCCTTCTTGTGGGCTTGTTGGGCCCTCTTGGGGCCATTTTGGACCGTCTAGGGGTGGCCTTGGCCCGTACTGAGGCCATCTTGAACCGTCTTGACGCACTCTTGGACCCCCAAAGAAGCCCCAGAGGCCAAAAACCCAAATCACTGATTGTCCATCTGTTGTTGTACGTTTGCAGGGCCCCAGAAAGGGGCCGCCACTTTGGTACGGACATGTGGCGCGACTCCAGGGGGAGGGTAGGGGGGGAGACATAATAATGGAATCGAATACAGCATGTAGCAAGTCTACAAGATGTAGATCGATTGGATACGTTGCGCTACAACATCCGCGGAACTGCCTCCGGCAACACGTCAGTCCGGACGTGGATCCCTCCTCGTAGATTACTCCGTAATTGCGTTCTCGAGGCCACGATCCCATATAAATTGTGCCATCTTCGCGTCCCCGAGGTTACGACCCTTCGTCAATGACGCAAGTTCCAAAATGAATCATGCCAAACTCGCGTCCACGAGGCCACGCTCCCTCGGAACCGATAAATATTCGCGTCCTCAAGCCCACGATCCCTCGTACATTACACAATGCTCGCGTTCACGAAGCCACGATCCCGGGTAAATTCCGAAATTCTCGCATCGCCGAGGCAACCTTCCTTGCAAGGTACGCTGTGTTCGCGTCTCCGATGCCACGATCCCACGTGAATTTCGCTATGCTCGCGTCCCCGAGACGACGACCGCACGCAAAGGACGCCGTATTCGGGCCCCTGAAAGCAACGATCCCTAGCGAAATACGCATCATTCGCGCCGAGACAACGATATCTAATGACTTACGCCGTGCTCGCGCCCCCGAAACAACCACTCCTAGAACATTGCACCGAATTCGCGTGCCCGAAGCCGCGGCCCCTTGCAAAATATGCCGAGGAACCCGAAGACCGTCGAATCCGTGCGATTTTGCCCAACGTAGCCTGAAGCAGCGCTCAGTCGTTTCAAGATGGCCTCCTCTAACTTCGAAGAAGGCATCACAGAGATCAACAAGATGCCTTGAATATTACCAATCGTTCTCGCGCGAAGTTTCGATACTTCATTGCGACGGCCCAGGCATCTCAACATAGCTCCTGCGAATTCCATAATGACGGTGGAAGAGGGCGAAGCCCTTACAGATAATCCGCCGATCAACTTCCAACTCCCGTATCCCCGGGGGGGGCATAAGGGTAATCACCGATGCCGCTACGTACTCCTTTCCGCGAGTGCGTTCTGATCAGGATTTCGATGCGAATCCAGCGGTGGCGACGAGGGCTCCCCAGGAGGCCCAAGGAGACGAAAACGAGGAAAAGGTAGTGGTACCGGTACCCTTCCCTCCTCTAGAACCCCCTGAGCAACCCCGGCGGCGATCCATCGGGGACGCACTGACGCAGATCATAGCAAACATTGGTCAGTCAGGCGTTGCAGGATCCTGCAGGATCCTGCGCGCTGACCTGCGTCAGCGCACCCATGGCTCTGTAGGATAATGCCAAATCTGGCGCTCCGGCTGACCCCCGCTTGCATTGCCCCCCGTCTCAAGGCTCCCGTATCCCGGGTCGGGCGAAAGGGGGGGATAGCAAAGGGTGGGTTTGAGAATCAGCTCGCGTAGCTGATTTTCCCGGCGCCCCCCGGCGCCCGAGGCGGCTGCGTGTCGCGGAATGTGCCCCTCGGTGGGGCCGAAACCAGCTGCATGCAGCAACTTTCGTACCCCCCCTCTTTCCCAATCCCCCCTTTCGCCCGGGGCCTCCGCGGAGGAGGAGGAGAGACAGGAGGAGGAGGATTTGGAAGAAAATAAGGATGATGAGGAGGATGATCAGAAGGAAAAGGAGAATGAGGAGGAGGATGAGGAGGAGGAAGAGGAGAAGGAGAAGGATGATGATGATCGATCCCAATCCAAGCCGAGGCTCCCCCCCGGGGCCTCCGCGGACGCAGGAGGACTCCAGAGGACGCCAGGGGGCCCCCCGCGGCAGGCCTCCGCAGGGCAGGCCGCGATGCCCGACCCTCGACCTGCGGAGGCCGTCGATCCTCGACGAAGGGGGGGGGTAGGCGCAGAGCAAAGAGCTCTGCAGTTATGAAGGGGCCCACAAACACACAAATAAATACGCACAAATAAAATAATGCCCCATATTTTCCTATATTTTCTGGGTTTTTGTCTTCCCCCCCACTTCCCATATTTTCTTATATTTTCTGGGGAATCGACGATTAATTGTGTCTGTGTGTTTTTTCCTCTCCTGAAGTCAACCCGTACAGTAAGGATTGCGCGACGAGGACGCAGTGCCCCTGGAAGGCCATTGCTAAGTCTTCGGGCGGGGTGCGGCCACCGAACCGTGGCCAAGGATGCACCGAGGATGCAAGGATGCCAGGGTGCCCTTGGAAAGGTTGCCCGTCCGTGCTATGCGGGTTGACTGTAGGACCCAGTCTCTCTCCGTAGCTACGCGACTAACGAAGTTTGGATCGAAACGCTGCAGGACCAAACCTTCCCACACGAAAGACCTTGTCGGGCGACTCATGGCGACGACGACGACGGCGGGGGGGAGGAGGCGGAGGGGAGGGGGAATGAGCCGTGGGCGAAAATCGGCTACACGCAAGAGTGACCCTAGTCGACTACACGCAAGAGTGACCCTAGACAAGAGTGACCTTTGGTGCGCGGATTTCGGGGGCCGCGGGTACGCCAAATCCGAGCGCGCACAGGCCAGGGCTTGGGGGACCCCTTGGAGCCCGCACGAAAGGTCATTCCTGCGAACGGTCACTCTTGTGTGCAACCGATCTGGGCGAGAGCTACCGTTGGTGCGCAGCGTTAGGGGAGCGCCGGGGGGGGGGGGGGGGGCAAACCCAGGCGCGCAAGCCGATGCTATCGCATCGCTCGGAGGGGTCGGAAGACTCTAGCGGTCCCGCACCTGACTACCTACCAGACCACCCCAACCCAACCCGAAGACCCGAATTTCGGGTTGGGGGGGGTAAGGGTTCCACGCGTGTTTTTTCGATGTTTCCCCGACACCCCCCCTACTGGAAATCGAGGGAAAATCTGAGCCTTCGGGTTGGGTTGGGGTGGTTTGGTGGGTGGTGAATCGCATCGCGCGGAGGGGTCGGAAGACTCCAGCGGTCCCGCACCAAAAGTCACTCCTGCGAAGGGCCACTCTTCTGTGCGTTCGCGCCTGCGCGGCGCTTCTTCGCGGAGGCTGCGCGAGAGGAACTCGTCCGTCTGGCCGCGCGTGCGCCGGATCGGGCCCCAGAACCCAGACCGCGAGGACGCGGGCACGGACACGTCCGCACGCGTGAAGGATGAGGAGAGGAAGGAGGGAGGGAATGGGGGAGTGATCGAGGGGCTCTCGGAGGGATCGAGGCCCTGACGTTGCCTGAGATCTGACGTGGCAAAAAAACATCACACCACGGTGAGAAATCGCGACAGAAGCCCGGGACCCCGTCTTTCTGCACCATATTTTTCAAGCCAGATCGATCTGTGATGGTCCCGTGGCCCGAATATAGGCGAGAATGCCTGCAACGCCAGGATCTCATCGCTCATCCATGCGCCTAAATCCAAGTTTGTACCTCCTCGGGAAGAGGGGAGTGGGAAAGGAGTTGGAAATGGCTTGGGCGTCTGAAGTGGATGAACCCCAAGCAAATCGGTTCAGAAAGGGGGATCAGGGCAAATCTATCCAAAATCGGTCACCAAACCCCTCCCACGGGGTCCACCTGGTGTAGTCTTTAAACCCGGATCATGTCTTTGACAGTCCTGCAGCATCGGGCCCGAAAACGCTCCCCAGAGGCCGTAAAAGGCAAGAATACCTCCTTGAACAAAGAATCTCGAGCCTCTTCCCTCCCTTCCTGCTCGCTGGAACCAATGCTGGGCCACCGCGGACACCATCTGGCTCCAACTTTGCACTTCCTCCAGAGGAGAGGCCCTGAGGCATGTGTCCTTCCGATTCTGGCATGCTTACTTGCATGGAGGGGGGAAGGAGAGAGGGCGCTGCGAGGCCCGAAAGAGCATGTGGACTTCACGCAAGACGGGACTCCCTCGCACGCCCTTCCGGCCCAGCACTGCTTGAAAAGGCGGGGGGGAGGGCAATGCCAGGCAGGTAGACTTGCCTGGGTCTAAAGGAACAAAAACCTCCTGCCTGACGTTGCCCTGAGACCTGCCATCGTTCGGGCGTGAATTCCCCGTGCATTTCTCGGTTTCGTGCGTTCCTGTTTCCGCAAAAATATCCTAGATGTTCCTCGATGGTTCTCGCCGACAGAAAATGCACACGTCCGAGCGCGTCCGAGCGATGCCCAGGAGGTTCCGCCCCCTTCGGGGCCTCCGTGGACGCCGCCGCGACCTCCGCCGACCGCAGCTCCACGCGCCGCAGGAGGTAGGCCTTGCGGAGGAGGACGCCGTAGGACCGCAAGATCACCACGTTCGTGGCGTGCCGTACGGCGCCCACCATGGACACGACCTCCTGTTCGGCAGATGGCCCCCAGACGGAGTCCGACTGCAGTCATCGCGCAGGAGGAGGAGGAGGAGAAGGAGGAGGAGGAGGAGGAGGAGGAGGAGCCAGGAGGAGGAGGCGGCGAGATCCTCCGACCCCAGCTGCATTCGACACGCTGACCTGTAGGCTCTGGCCTTCGGGCCGCTCCTCGGTGCTGCGTCGGGGAAGCCATCCGTGGCCGAGGCGCGCCGTGACCAGGAAAGCCCAACGTTTTCCCAACAGCAATGCATCGGCAGCGCATCAGCGATGCATCGGCGGTGCACGGGCGATGCTTGGGCGCCATCGGCGTGGAGAGCTTCACATTCCACATCGAGCCGCACAGCCGACACATCGCCGACGCATCGCCTGTGCGGTGCCATTATCCGACCCTCATTATCTGCTACGACCCCATCTCGGAGGGCCAGGTGTTGGGTCCCTACAAAAGCTGGTCTGCAGGGGTTCTATATACATCTGTGTATATATATACATATACAACTATACGACCACCCCTCGGGTGATAAGGACGTTCGGGGGGGAGGAACCAACGTCTCACTCGATCGGCCTCACTATCGATCTCACTATCGGCATCGCTCGATCGATCTCACTCGATCGATATCACAGTCGATCTCACTCGATCTATTTCGTTCGATCGATATCACAATCGATTTGATTATCGATCTCACAATCGATCTCACTATCGATATCACGATCGATCTCACATTCGATCTCACATTCGGTCTAGCTATCGATCCCACTATCGATAGCACAATCAACGTCATCATCATAGTCATCATCAACATCATCGCCATCAACGTCATCAACATCATCAACATCATCATCATCCGCATCATCGGAACACCGTCACCATCAGCATGACCTCATCACCATCATCAACATCACCATCACCATCATCATCATAGGGACACCATCATTGCCACCATCATCATCAACATAATCATAATCGGGACACCATCGTCATCATCATCGGGACACCACCAAAATCATCACCAGCATATCATCATCATGACCATGAGGAACATAATCACCATCACCAACACTATGATCAACATCGGGACACCACCATCATCATCATTAGCAACATCATCAACATCAACATCAACATCACCATCACAACACCATCATCATCGTCACCATCATCATCACCATCACCATCATCAACATCATCGGGATCACCATCACCATCATCAACATCAGCATCATCATCACCATCATTGGGCCACCATCATCAAAATCATCATCAACTCGTCAGCGTCCTCGTCATCAACATCATCATCGGGGCACATCATCGCCATCATAATCATCATCATTGTCATCATCATCATCATCTTCATCATCATCTGGACACCATCATCATCATCACCAGCATCATCAATAGCATCATCATCAACCTCATCGTCATGATCATCGGGACACCATCATCATCATCAACTCATCTGATCAGTATCAACATCATCCTGATCACCAACATCATCATCATCAACATCAACATCATCATCATCAACATCACCATCATCATCATCATCATCATCATCATCGGGCACCATCATCATCATCAGCACCGTCATCATCATCATCATCATCATCATCATCATCATCATCATCATCATCATTGGGGCACCATCATCATCACTACCATCACCACCATCATCATCATCACCATCGTCAACATCATCATCATTATCATCACCATCATCACTGGGACACCATCATCATCACCACCATCACCATCACCATCACCATCACCATCACCATCACCATCACCATCACCATCACCATCATCATCATCATCATCATCATCATCATCATCATCATCATCATCATCATCATCATCATCATCATCATCGGGACACCGACGAGGCACCGCCAGGACACCGCGCGCCACCGGCCCCCGAGCAGGACACCGGCGGGACACCGCGGGGCACCCGTTGCCTGAACGGGGACTTTTGGTCTGGCCGCGCCTCAGGTACAGGAGACTTTTATTTCTCGCCCGCCCACGCAGCTTCGCCTCGCCCGCACGCACGGCACGCACGAACACGAAACCGAAACCGATTTCCCGGTAGGGGGGCTCTCCGTTCCACTTCGATCTCACCCCCTCACCTCCCACATATATATATATATATATATATATATCGAAACTTGGGGGGGTGAGTCCGACGTGAAGCGGGGACCCCCCCTCACTGGGAAATAGATTTCGGACTCGGGTTCCGTGCGTGCGTGCGAGGCAAAGCTGCGTGGGCGGGCGAGAGGAAATTCTCCTGTGGCTGGGCCGCGGCCAGACCAAAAAAGTCTTCTCTGGCGGCTGGTGGCCCGCGATGTCCCGCCGGTGTCCCGCCTGTGTCCCAAAATCCTCCTGTGGCTGGGCCGCGGCCGGACCAAATGATTCTTCTCCGCCGGCCGGTGGCGTGCGGTGTCCCGCCGGTGTCCCGACATTCTTCTGTGGCTGGGCCGCGCCGCCCGAGGAGGGCGTGCGAGCACCAGGCTTTGCCAATGCGTCAGGTGTTGACGTGGGAACCCCAGCGCCGTCAGGAGATGCTGCCACCCACACGCAGGCGCCGCTAGCACCAAGCTTTGCTCGTGCCTCGAGCGCCGGACCTGCAACCAAGGCAGCAACGGGTTTGCTGCACCATTTTTCCCCATTGCTACCCCCCCAACCTCCTTATCAACCGCAGGGTGGTCGTGGAGGTATGTATTATCCACTTGCCCTCCCAGACCCCCTCCCCCTCGCGTCGTGAAAGCGCTCATGCCAGACTTTTTGTGTTTAAACTCTGCTCGGCCTCTGGGGGCCCGTGCCGGGGCCCGACACATTCAACAAACAATGAGTCAGGACGAAAGACTTGTCCCGGGGAATGGGTCGAGACCTCTGGGGGTCGACGCTATAAAAAGTCGTGCATGTCAAGCACGTGTTGGAATGCCCCCTGGTACCTTGCTCAATCCCCCGAACCTCAGCTTGTTTTTTCTGGGTTTTACATTCTACACGCTCTTAAGGAAAGTCCGTATCGAATAACTTCGCTCGCCGCCCCCCAGGACCTACCCAACCATCGACTGCACGCAAGAGTGACCCTGGGTAAGAGTGACCTGTGGTGCGCGGCCTTTGGGGGGCCGCGGGGGGGGACCAAAAACGAGCGCGCGAGACGCAATTACTGCATCGCGTTCGGCGATCGGGGGGCCCCGTTGGGCCCGCACCAAAAAACACTCTGGCGAAAAGTCACTCTTACGTGTAATCGAAACCAACCCTTTCAGACGAAACAAAAAAAACGCGCCAGAGACGAGCCGGCACGCTCAGAATCAACATCCTGGCAGCAACGCTGGCAGCGGAAAGCTCGCCGAACTCCACGCAGCACGCTCGGAAACAACTTCGTGTACAATTCGCGGCAATGAAAACATTTTCCTGCAACGGAAAGCCCGGCAAACGCCCGGGCCAACACCCAATGAACTGGGCAACCCTCCCAGTCAACCCCCGCACGCCAACCCAGGCTAGGGTATTATTGTATCTGAGATATGTTAGCCAGCGTGGACCCCAAACAATGTTATTTTAGAAATAAATGCTGGACAACAAAAATGAAGCCGTGCACTCTCGGTTGTGCAGTATGTGTTGTGCACTATGTGTGTTGCAATGTATGGTGTGCGATATGTGTTGTGCAAGCTGTGCGGTGCAATCCTCGTGTTGCAAGAATGTTGTGCAATCTATACGGTCCAAGATAGATTGTGCTTTCTTTGGTGTGCAATCTGTGTTGGGCAACATCTGATGCAGTCTATATTGTGCAGTCTACGTGGTTCAGTCCATGTGGTGCAATATATGTTGTGCACTCTACGTGGTGCAATCTAGGTTGTGCAAGCTATATTGTTCAAACTATGGGATGCAATCTATGTAATGCAATCTATGCTGTGCATGTTGCGCACTCTGTATGTTGTGCAGTCTATATAATGCATCAATGCGTGGCGACGACATAGAGGCAGGACCAACACGCAGGCCAAGACGACTTGCGGCGACGAAACGGCGACGGGGCAGCGACGACGGCGACATGAATGACCGGCCAACACGCAAGCCCAATTCCGTGGAACAACAAGCGGGACTCGCACCTCTTTCCCTTTCACGAGTCAGCACTGGCTGGCTGGCACTGGCTGGCACTGGCTGGCAAGGGTGCAGAAACAACGGGCCAGAGAGCGCAGAGGCGGCTACCCGCCATGAAGCAGGCAGCTGGTCTGCAGCGCGACCACAACGTACAAAAGACAACGTCAAAGAGGGGCACTGCCCCCTCGCTCGCAAGAAGCGCGCCTGCGCCAGGCTCGCGGCGCTCCCGCGGCAATGGGGGCGGGGGGCGGCGGGGCGAGGCGCACAAGGAGGGCGGGGTTGGGAGGGAGGGGCGGAGGGGACCCAGACCCCATCGGGTCATGAACAAAAATCATGACAGAAAGTCTTTCGCCATCTTCGGCCTCTGGAGGCCCGCGCGGGGCCTCGGGACCGTCTCGAGATAGTAAAAACGGTCCCGAGAATTGGTCCGGGGGGTCCACGTTATGAAAACATCACGACGTCGGGTGGGGATATGTGGAGGGAGGAGGACGGACGGGGGCGAGGCGATTAGGAGGGCAAGAGAAGGGCGCTCGGGGCGTGCAAGAGGGGAGGACCCTGGCTCGGACACGGACGGGGCGCTCTCGCGGAGGGCGAAACTGAGCGGCGGCGGCATCAGCCCTACGCCACGAAAGTATAAACACAGACACCCTCCGACTAACTTTGCATACATCTTCGGGGAGGGCGGCGGCGTATGGCCGCCAGCTCTCAGTGGCGATGTGCACACCGCCACCCTCCCCTGAGGCCCAGGAACCATTTCATCGGAGGGCGTCGGTGTATACTTTTCGTGGCGGAAGTGCACACACACACGATGAACTCCGCGAGATGCGGCTCGTGCCAGGAGCCCCGAAAAGCCAAACAGCGCTACACCCTGCGAAATGCTTTAGAAATCATGGGTTAAGAAATTGAGAGTCTCAGAATTCAAATAAAAACCCAGAATGTCCATTCAAACCTTAGGATTTACCTTGAAACATTAAGAATAATCGAGACTCTGGCCGAAAATTTAAGCTTTCTTAAGCATCGCCTAAGGTGTACACTCCTGTGAGGGCCCCGGCCTGACCTCCGCGGGCTTCCGCCCGCGGAGCGCGCCCGTGTCTTGCCTCGACCAGCTTCCGCCAGCCTTTTCCGCCGCTCGATCCCCCGAAGGCGAGGCCCCGCCTGGAGCGCTCCGCATTCTTGAGTGGGTAACACATATACGGCAGGTCCGTGCCGTGTCGACCCCAGCGTTGGTTTTTGACACCGCGGGGATCGCTCAACCTTGAACGATCGGCCGCTGCCGCAACGTCCGATCGTTCAACATCGATCGATTCTGGGTCGCCGGCGGCGTTCAACCTTGAACGTCCGCGCTGGGGTCGCCGCTGGTCGACACGACGCAAACCTACCGTAACACATGTATGCGTGTGAGCGGGAGGATTCGAATCATCAGGCATGCAACACACTAGCTATTGTGAAAAGATGCATGCATGACTTATTACGTAAGTTTAGTGTGTAATTCAATTCGGTTCGAGTCCATTCACTTTGAACACCATCCGTCACTGATCAGGCCGTGCACTATGAGAGGACCGGTCTGACACAACAACTTCAGGCGGCTGCGATTCGATTCGACTGTCTCTGAAACTCTAGGGCGGTAGAATGATGATTGCGATGATGAGGTTGGGGAGGAGGAGGCGGATGGGGAGGCAGGGCACCGCCAGGGCAAACGGAGGGTCAGATCGGAATCTGAGGACGCCAGAGGATCTCTGCGCGAAGGTGCGGATGCAGCAGCCCTCCCGGAATCCTGTCGAGAAATCGCGCCGCCTGGAGCCTCTCTCTCACCTGCGCGATCCACCATCAATCATCTCAGGGGCTCGGTTGCGACCTGCCGACCACGCCTCGACCCGCCCGTCCTGCGCGGCGTTGATGTCGTCCGCCTGGACCTGCAGCGCCTCGGAGGTGTCCTGCGTAGGGCGCGGACCAGGGGTCTTGACAAGTTGGGACCCCAGGAAATCAGTCAGGATGAGGAGAGGAATCCAAATCCGTCCAGCAGCCCGGATCCGTTTCTGACGGCCCTGGAGTCCGAAGACGGCCCTTCAGTGGCGACATCTGAACCCTACCCCCACCAACCATCGATTCACCTGCATCGATGGGAGGTGCGGGTGAGGTTCGGATTTCGCCACGTCCCCGCAGCCCGTCGAGCTGCCTGAATCGTTGATCGGCGAGGGTAGGGTTCGGATTTCGACACCGAAATTCATACTCTCTGGGGGAAGCAAAAGTTACTGATACCGCTACTCCTCGGAGCTCTCCCCGGAAACGTTCTGACCAGGGTTTCGAAGCGAATCCAGCCGTGGCGACGAGGGCCTACCAGGAGGCCAAAAAAGGAAAAACGAGGGAAGGGTGGCGGTATCGATACCCTTTCCTCCTCTGAGAACTTCAGACCCCCGGCCAACTCCGAGTCCTGCAGGTCCTTCAGCGTCTTGGTCAGCAGCGTCTCCCTGCGCGGGGTCTGCAAAAGGTGCCTCTGGCCCAAGGTGCCCCCAGCTTCCTGCTCCATTTTGGAGCCCCTGGGTGCTCGTGAGGGGGGGGGCTCTGGAGGCCGTGGGGGCCTCCTTTCGGTCCGGGCGAAAGGGGAGGATAGCAAAGGGGGGGGTTGAGAACCAGCTCATGTAGCTGATTTTCCCGGCGCCTCCCTGCGGCATGGTCCCGGCAGCGGGGCCGAAACCAGCTGCAGCAAATTTCGACCCCCCCCCCCCCTTTCCCTATCCCCCCTTTTTGGACGCCCGAGTTATCCGGGGTAACTCGGGTCCCCGAAAAACGAACCCGAGTTAGCCCTGACCCGAGTTACCCCTGATGATTTTATCCGAGTTATCCGGGGTAACTCGGGTCCGGGGTAACTCGGGTTTGGGTTCCCGAAAAACGAACCCGAGTTAGCCCTGACCCGAGTTACCCCTGATGATTCGGGGCCCTGGACGCCCGAAATATCCGGGGTAACTCGGGTCCGGGATAACTCGGGTTCGGAATCCCGAAAAACGAACCCGAGTTATCCCCGACCCGAGTCACCCCTGATGATTCGGGGCTCTGACCTTTCGCTCGGCCCGATCCTTGGAAATCCGGGGGGCACCTCGTGCCAAATTGGCACTTCTGGCAGCCCCCGACCTTGAAGGGGCCCCAGGACACACAAATAAATACGCACAAATAAAAATATTCCCCATATTTTCCCATATTTTCTAGGTTTTTGTCTTCCCCCCCAATTCCCATATTTTCCATGTATTTCCTGGGATCGACGATTCATTGTGTCTGTGTGTGTTTTTCCCCTCCTGAGACCTGCCGACCCGGCCCTCCTCGAGCGAGGGCGGCCGCTCCGCGGCCGGCGGGAGGCCCGACGCGTCGCCCACCGCGTCTCCTCCTCCGCTGGGGGCGGGCGCGCGCGCAGACGTCGTACACCCTGCGAAATGCTTAAGAAATCATGGGTTAAGAAATTCATAGTCTCAGAACTTGAATAAAAACCCAGCAGTTCTATGAACATCTTAAGATCTACATGGAAACGTTAAGAATCATCGAGACTCTGGCCGAAAACTTAAGTTTTCTGAAGCATCGCCTAAGGTGTACCGACACGTCTGAGACTTACATCGGCGGCGAGCGAAGGGGGGGCATGAGGAGGAGGCCCGTCTCGAAAAGCGGCGGGGCCTCTCAGACACGCTCCGCCCTTCGGAGAGAGTGCCCGTGTGACCGGAGAAGGCCCAGAAAACCTTCCATAAGCCCGGAAGACTTCTGAGCCTTCTGTGAAGGCCCGCCCCTATCACTTCCCCCGCGGGCTCGCCGCCGGCTGAAAACGGCGAAGCCACGACAAGGACAACAACAGACCGGGACAAATCGGTTACGTCCTCGCCCATGGACTCCGTGTTATACCCTACGCTCCTGGGCCGTCTTCGGCGGTCTTTAGGCGGTCTTCGGGCGGTCTTCGGGCGGTCTGCGGCGGTCTTCTGACGGCCGTCGGCGGTCTTTGATCACGCGAGCGCTGGGTGGTGGTGTTCAACGAGGGGTCCCTGATTGAACACCTAAAGTCGCGGATCTCTGACATCCGTCGGGGTTCAGGAGGATGTATCAGGCACCGAGGCCGTCCCAATGCGCTCCGGAACGCTCTGAGAACGTTCCAGCACGCTCTGGAAACAATTACCCTTTTCCTGGCCACACCCTCATCCGACCCTGGCCGGGAACATCCGTGGCCTTCAAGGCGGCTGGGGGGTCTGACTCCGAAATCGGTCCCGAGGAGGAATGGGACCAAATCCGTTCAAAATCGGCCCCCGGACTCCTCCCAGGCAGGGTCCACCTGGTGCAGCTTTTCACCCCGGATGCGTTCTCATGGTCCCGCTTACTGATTGTTCGTACTTGTGATGCGTATCATGCTACTTAGCTGCGTAACTAAACTGAGGAAATTGTCCGGGTACTTGATAAGCACAATTACTTCCGCTAAGTACAACCTGCGTGCATGCGGTCAGTTGCGTATACACAGGCTTAGGTCGTACTTTTAAGATCACTTGTAACTATAATAAATACAGAAGGCATGGATGGGGCTCGCCCAGGTAAGCGCGAACGGGAGAGGGGCGTGAACAGCGCGAGGTCAGCGCCCGGCAAGTGAGAGTCTCTCTCTCGCTCGCTCTCTCCTGTCTTTTTGTTCACCCGTCGTTTCTCACAATATTTCTTTTTGTCTCTGTCATCTCTCCTTTGCTCTCTCTCTCTCCCCCCTCTCCCTCTCTCGCATTTCATTGTGTATGCATATTCCTCCTCCCTGCCTCTGCAATCCCCGTCAATTTACAAGTATGTTTTCACTACACATATATCTATGATCGTCACAATTTGATACATATGTATATATGTATACACTATACAAAAATAAAGGCGAACGCACGTAATTCGATACATGCATTCGGAATACATGTATATGTATATAAACATATATGCATACACATGTGCATGAGCGGCAGCGGCCGATGTAGCGAGTGCGATCGCTTGTGTGCACGAACAAATCCGATCGCTATCTGCGTACTACTCAACACATGAATAATGCATACACATAAACACACGTCAACGGTTGGGACCACTTCTGTCTTCGTAGCCGTGTCCTTCGTTATCACTGTCGGCGTAGGTCGTCCTCCTTGCCGCGGCTATGGCGATGCCGACCATGGCGTGGGAATGGCGATGTCCAGCGATGTTGACCACTAAGAGGCGCAACTAAGCGATGTCGACCGCTGCGCGTCGGCGGCAATGCCGACCCACACGCGCGCGCGCGCTGCAGCCGCTGGCGGCTAGCTCGCGCCGCGGGTCGGCGGCCAGCGCGCGCGCGGGAGGGCGCGCGACCTGGCGATGCAGCTTCAGGCTGCAGAGGCGCTCCTCGAGGGCTGGAGGGGCGGCCTTTCGCATTGGGCAATCCTCTGTGCCCAGGCGGACGCAGCCACGGTCACAATGGCGCCCTGGACGTTCGCGTCCGCTGAGGGCTCGGCGGCGCCGGCGCTGAAGACCAGCCACACGCCATTCAACCAGAAGCCGATGGCAAAGCTGGTAGGCTGAGCGCCTGGCCTAGCCGCGCAGGCGGCACAAGAGCTGGTTCAAAATGCTCGGGCCGCTTCGTCGCTGGCGCCGGTCGCGGGGGCGCCGCCGCGGAACTGCGCGGCCATCAGGGCTCACTTGACCAGTGGCCAGTGACCAGTGGGAAGCGATCCTCGCTGAACGCGCGGACTTCCCGTCGCGGCGCGAGGCGTTGTTTTCTAGCCTGCAAAGCCCTTGGCCGGCGCGCCTCCCACGAGCGGACTACCCAGACGGTTGTGTGCATTGCGTTGATGGCTGAAGGACTCGATCGGGCGTCGCTTTCGTGACCGCGCGCCTAGCGGGGTTACTTCGCGCGGGCCGAGAAGTTCGCGACGCGGCTGTAGTCGCCCAGCCGACCGAGCCGAAGCCCGAGAGCGAGGGCAACGACGAGAACGCAAGCGACAACCGCGGCAGCGAAGCTGGCTGCGAGAACCACGCGGGGGAGGGAAGCGACGACCCCCCTAAAAAGCCAAGGCCAAGGCAAAGACCAGCGCCCAGGCCCCCCCCATGCGCAAAGGAAAAAAGGAGTACAAAAAATAAAAACATGGGGATGTGGCCGAGACCCTGGGCAAGGCCAAGGCGCCCCAAAAGATCCGCTGCGCCGTCGCATTCGATCGAGTGGCCCCGCTCACAGTGGCCATGTATGATCAACCTGGGCAGTTGGAGGCGCCAGAGTTCACCGACTACGGCGGCCACGCGCAAACGAGAGCCTCTGCCGGGGGGTGGAGCTCGGCGCGCAGAGGCAAACCATTTGCAAAGCAGACCGGCGCACTTCCGCAATCCGAGGGGGCGCTGCGTCGTCGCAGCCGGCGCCGGCGAGGCAGCCCGCGCGAATGGCGTCGCCAAACATGCCGCTGACGCGACCCGCGGCAATCCTGGCGCGTTCAGCGACGAGGGTCGCTCGGCAGCAGCAGCGATGACGATGGCGGTCGCGACAGCGATGACAATGGCCGCGGCAATGGATACAGCTGCGCCGATTGCGATAGCTCTGGCGGCAGGGGCGACGGCGGGCGCGGGCGACTGCGATCGCTTGCGTTTCTGGCTGGGGGCACCCCACATAAATTTTCCCAAGTGGGGTGGGGGGTCCAAACCCCCCCACTCATTTTCCCGGGGAGGGGGAGGGGGGGGACCAGACCCGTCCTACTAATTTTCCAGCGGGGGGGTCTGCCGGACCACCCCCACCCCCTTGTTTTTCAGGGGGGGGGGGAACCCCCACCTGCCATCAGCGGCAGAAAGAGCTATGTACTATTACTAGAGTTGCCTCTATATCCCTACTCTCTTTCTCTCTCGTTTGTTTGTTGTTCTCTCTCTGTATATATATAAAGACATATGACTCTCTCTCCTACTCTGGTCCTTTTTAGCTCGCTCTCTCTCTCTCTCTCTTTCTTCTTTCTCTGTTTTCTCTTTACCATTATCATTTTCTCTCTATGTATATCGTGTGTTTGCTAAGTTCGAGCTAAGTTCTAGCTAAGCGTATATAGCCAGATCGGCAACATCTGCTGAAGTAACCTAGTTATGGGTGAGTCGCCTTACCGCAAGGGAGAAAGTAATCAGCAGAGCACTGAACAGACTCAGCCGATGCATGGACCCATAACTACGGAAAACTATCTCTTGGATATGATGTCACTGCTGGTAGTAGCGAAAGCACGAGCAGTCGGTAAGCGGGACCCGAAACGGTCCCCAGAAACCGAAACATGCAGCAACAACCCACCCGAACCCAGAACCTCGAACCTGCCCGCCCCTCCTGCTGGTTGAACCAGTGCTGGGCCACGTCAGACCTCCAGACGGCCCCAGCCTGGGTCCAAAGATCGGTGCATACGCATACGCCATCCTGGCGCGGCCACGAAGGCGCCTTCACCGATCCTGGGCCCCAGGCGGGTCTGACCAGGATCGGGGCGGGTGTGCGGTGTGCGGGGGACACGCTGTTGGGGGGACCAGCTCGGGAAGCATCGCCAGGAGTTCGGCGAGACGCCCCCGATAGCGAAAGCAAAGCCATCGGGCCCCTTTCGGCGATGTGCGGGCGACGGGGTTCGATGCATCCTCCCATGAGCCTATCCCCCCAGGTAGAATGTTGCCTCTGACAATTGCACACCGACGCGTCCGACCCTGACCAGGCACTTCACGGGCCCACGGATCGGTGCAGACGCTGGCTCGGCTATGAGGGCGCTGCCACCGATGCATGAGCCCCAGGTGGGCCTGGCCAGGATCGGAGCAGGTGCGCCCATGGATCCGGTGCCTCGACCTGGTCAAGACGAAGCCACGAACCCTTTCCCACGGGCCAAGCTTCAATCCCGAGTCGTTGCTTGACTGTCCCGAAAGTGGCGCGACGACCCTTGATCTAGTCCACATGTGGAAGGTCTGGATAGCTTTCGTCCCCGATCCTTCGAGCAGCTCCTGCGTCGAGCTCTCCCTCCGAGCTTCTCCCGCGTCCTGCGTCCTGCTCAGGCTCGGCGGCCTGCTCGTAGCCGCAGCGAAACCGGGCAGCGGCCACGTGGACGCGTGCTTCGACTCCGAAGCCCCGGCGGACCCGCCGGCTTCCATCCGCCGCATCTTGTAGAGGGTGTCCATCTTGACCATCGACTTCGCCAGCTCAATCGTCGGGTCTCCTTTCTGAGAGATCGTAGAGCTGATGTTCCTGATCTCCTCCTGCAAGGCAGTCGAAGGCGGTAGCCAGATCTGACAAGCGCCCGAGCCTACAGCGAAACCGAAACAGCTAAGAAAACCGACTAGTGGCGTGCAGGCTAGAGAGATGCGGAGCGACGCAGCGACGCAGCAACGACACGACAACGGCCGACCGAACTGAGCCGATCGAACGCGAAACGACTGCGACGCAATCGAACCGACCGAACCGCGAACACCCACCTTGAGCCGAACCGGGCGAACCACGGACAATCGACCGAACCGACCGAGCAGCTCCTGCTCCACCTTCTTGACGAGTGCCTTGAGAGGAACAAACAAAAAACGCTCGGACATCCGCGAAGATCCCAGACATCCGAGCGGACCTCCTGTCTTCCCACCCAACAGGTTGGGGCTTTTAGGCGCAAAAAGAACAGCACCTGTCCCGCCTCGTTGGGGGTTTTAGTTGTGAAAAAAACACAGCCTCCGACCAACCTCTTACACCCTGCACACCGCGGCCGCCAGGCCCCAAGGGGGCCTGGTGCCCTCTGGGTACCCCGCCGCGTCTTCGACGAACGACGGCTGCACACCGCAGCCGCCAGGCCGCAAGATGCCCCGGTGCTCCCTGGGTACTCTGCCTCGCGTCTTAGATGAACGACCGCTGCCGCCGCCTGGCCCCAAGGGGCTCAATGCTCCCAAGGGGCCCAGCGCCGATCCAAGATATACGCGCTGAGCTCCGAAGGTTTCTGCTTCTGCCGCTGCTTTCTTAGAGGTCTGTCACATGAGGTCCGAGTAGATGAGGTCGGAGGAACGCGCCACATTGCCGATGCATCGGCGATGTATCAGCGATGCATCGGCGACGTCGGCGATGAATCGCCGCCGTCGGCGTTGCGAAAATCGGGCTCCGCATGGAGCCGCATCGCCGATGCATCGGCGATGCGGCGCGATCCTCCGACCCCATCTACAGGGGAGACGTAAGATTCGTTTTCGGTGGACTTGGGTTCATCTAACGGAGCCATGATGAAAATGACGAGACGAAACCTGAGGCTTGACGCGAGCTCCCGCTGCACACATCCCACGAAAACTGGACCGCAAAAATCAAGAACCCGGGTTCCGGAGTACCCGAGTTTTTCGGGGATGGACAGACCCCCCTTTAGTAAAACGTGGTTTAGTGAAAACGGCCTGAGGACCAAACCTGGCGGGCGCAAGCCTGGAAAATAACGGCCACGGCGCCATCTCGAGAACCGAAAACGGACAATCCACTAATCGACGTGTCACTGTTGGGGGTTCTGTCCACCCCCGAGTTTTACGTTTCCCCGAATCTACTCTGACCCTATCGGGGAGCCCCGCGTTGCTCCTCGAGCCTTGGCGCTCACCGCCCCGTGGACGGCCCTGGCCGCCGCCGGCCTCGACTTCGGGTCCGGGCTGGCACCCCGACGCCCGGAGCTCGGGCGGAACATCGCCGCGAGGTCGACGGCCTCCAGCGGCAGCCGCGCGGGCTCCGCGCGCACCACGGGGCGCGCGACGGGCAGCGGGGCCCTGTACTGGGTTCTCCGCTGAGGCCGGCCTTCTCGGGCGGGGCGTGATGGGGCACACGCTAACGCGGATCCTGTTACCCCCTTGGCCGATGAAAAAATCAGGACGGGAGGTCGCCCATGGATTTCGGGCTTTGGGGGTCCTCGACGGGCCCCGTGACCGTCAAAAAAAAATCAGGATGACAAGGTGGTCCTTGGGAATGAGCCAGGCCCTCTGGGGGTCGACGTCATGAACAAACACATCAAGTCGGGGGTCTGGGGACATTCAATTTTTTGTACGCCTGGCGTGATCGCCTGGTCTCGGGTCCTGAAACCATCGCAGATCGATCTGGCTCGAAACGTGCCGCAACGGGTCGCACTGTGGCCAGCGGGCGGGGCCAAGGGAGGGAACAGAAGCGATCAAATACACAGACCTAGAGAAAAAACAGCCCAGATCTTTCGATTCCAAAGGTTTGTGCGTTGGCTGGCGCCTGGGCCACCGCTTGCCCCTCAAGGGAGGTCAGCCGACCGGCCACGGGGGATGCAGCAGTCAGCCTCGGGGGGCACCGGGTTTGTCCCGAGCGCCCACCCGAAAGGCGGCGCCTGAGACGGGCTTCGGTACGGGCCAACAGCGGCGTCTGTATAACCAGAACTCGCGTTCGGCAGGCGGCCGCCTTGGTCTGCCATCCCTGAACCAGACCAACCCCTCACCCCTGTGGGCTATCGGAGTCTGGGGGTGCTCTGGGCGTCTTGCCCCGCACGCCCCCCAGAAAGTGGTGCACTCGCTTTCCCCCCGCCCGCCCTCAGAGTGGTAAAGCTTAGGGTTGCGTACAGACAGCCCCCGCAAGTAATCCTGGCTGGCCTCAGCAGGCCCCCCGAGAGATGTGGGGCGGTCTCAACATCGGGGCGCCCGGCGCCAGGGTGTTGAGACCGCCCTGGGCTACTCGGAGGGCCTGTTGCGGCCAGCTGTGACTGCTCGGGGGGCCTGTTGCGGCCAGCCAGGGCTACCTGGGGGTGCTGCAGCCCGAAGCCGTGCCAGCCCCGGACGCCCACCAGAAAGGGGTGTACTCGCTGCCGCCCCCCCCACCCACCCTCAAGAGACATGCAGCGCCCTGTATTTCTCCAGCGCGCGATTCTGGAGCTCCCAGCCGCAGCATTCGCGTGGGCTTCGCGGCGTGAGCGCTTCGTCCGACTGGCTCGGGGGCCTGGGGAGCGGGCCTCCAGAGGAGACCCGACCGCAGCAGACGGGCAGGCCGCTCGCAAGTGCTCTCGACTAGCAACTCAAGGCTCCCTAACCCTTTGGATAAGGGGCCTGCTTAAGAGGTGTGCCAACCAACGCCGCCCAGATTGGCTATCCCCAGTGTGCAGACGGGGACCAGAGTCGATTTATTCCCGATGAGTTCTGGACGTTGTCGATCTCGACGTGTTGGCCACCCTATGTCGCCCAAGCCCGGCCAATGAGGATGCACGTCCAGTGCATCCCTTGGCGCGTCCCCCTGCATGTCCCCCATTCGGGCGCCCTGGGCCAAGCTGCCCTGACTTCTCTAGGGGGGGTCCCAAGAGGCCTCCAAGGAGGCTTCTGGAGGCCTCGCATCCAGAGTCCCAACTCCTTGATCCTCAATCATCTGCCACACCCCTATTGGTTCAGCCCGCCTTCCAGCGAGTAGGGGTCCCACTCCGGATACTGGACTACCACCCTGGACACGGTCTTCACCAGCCTGGGGGGGAGAACGGGCTGAGACGAGTCTCCTCCTCCTCCTCCTCCTCCTCCTCCTCCTCCTCCTCCTCCTCACCTGGGGAAAAACACCCCCAGCGTTTCAAAACTACTATGATAAGCCGCCTCCTCCTCCTCCTGCTCCTCCTCCTGCTCCTCCTCCTCCTCCTCCTCCTCCTCCTCCTCCTCCTCCTCCCCCTCCTCCTCCTCCCCCTCCTCCTCCTCATCCCATTTCTCCTCCTCCTCCTCCTCCTCCTCTGCCTTCTCATGCGGGAGCGGAACTGCAGTGACAGGCGCATGGGTACCCATAACTTCGATGTCTACGTTTTGAAGACGCAGTCCTTAGATCTCACGACCCATTCCCCTGGGACCTGTTTTTCGTTATTGGTATTTGTTTGACGGTCCCGGTGTCAGGCGAAGGACCCGAGGGACCACGACAACAATTGAGAGACAACATCGTCCTGATGTTTTCAAGACGTTCGATGTCTTGGCAGGGAGGTGAAACAACGAACGAACGAACAGCCAGAGCGGCCAAGTGTCCGGTCCTCTTGAAATCAGGTGGGTGAGGCCTTAGCTTCGAGATATTGTAGTGTATTGATACATACGCGCGAGGCACGATGACAAGTTCTGTAGGCCTCGAAGGAGGAAGAGGAATCCTTGCAACCGCCGTCGTCGCATGTTTTGGCGGCGATCCGAGGGGGAAGTGAGAAAGGGCGGGTCTTCTCAGAAGGCTCAGAAGTCCCCCGGCCTTCTAAAACATGTTATCAGCCTCCCCCGAGGAAACCGAAAACCTCCCGAAATCCAGAGGCCCTCTGAGAAGCCTCACCGCCTTCTGAGAGGACCTCCTCCCACTCACTTCCCCCCCCCCCTCGCCCACCGCCGAGTGCTGGTGCATCAGCGAGGACATGGGACTTGCGAGGGGGAACGATAAGCGGGGCTGGCATAGGGGGGGAAACGTCGACCTGGAATCGGCGCACCATCGCCAGTGGATCGGCGATAGAAACCCGCTAGCGAATCCTCACGTTCCTGGGCTGGCGAAGGCTATCAGACCCCATCGGCAATCTACAGTCGGGCCGCTGAAATAAGGAGCGCTAAATAAGGAACGAGGCCGCTTTTTGGCCCCCAAAGCGCCTGCGTACAGGAGGAGGGCTTGAGGAACAGCCATGGAAGGGCCTAATGAACCTCGAGCCCCTTCCGAACCCAAACTGTTCCTTAGTCCAGCGACTTGATTGTATGGGGGATTGTGCAGGCGAGCCCAGATCGAATCGAAAAGTCGCAACGGCGATTGAAATAGATCGGATCGGAGGAAAGAGGCAGCAAAGTCCGGAGACAGCGAACCGGCGGAATTCGGCAAGCTAAACCTCCACTGAAACATCTGAATCCGAATCGGCATTGAAAAACGGATCGAATCGGAACCGGAAATCATCGATACCGAATCGAATCGAATCGAAAGCATCGAAACGAGCCCTGCTGGGGGTCGGTCGATGCATCTCTCCTATGCCTACCCCCCCTATTCCTACAGTCGGGCTCGATTGGACAGGACACGCGAGAGGACACAAAACCCTTCCGAGGGCCGCATTGCCACAGGAATGTAGGAAGCATGGGTCGCGAGACACGGGACACGAGGGCACCCTTGATTCGGCAGGGTCGACCTACTGATCCGGGCCGACTGCATCCCCTCAGCCTTGAAAGGGCAGAAGGGCGGCAAGCTCCGGGGGAAGGGCAGGCGCGGACGCGCTTCGGCGGGCAGCGCGGGGCGGAGCCTGGGGAACCTCATGCATTTATGTTCGTTTCCCCTCGCTTGGCCTTCGTTCCGGTCTTGCTGCAAACCGACATCGAAACGAAAACAGTCAACGAAATCGCCCAAACACCGTGTAGATCAAGCCCCCAATCTTTGACCCCTGGTTTTCGGGATCCTTGAGACGGAGGGCAAACGGGGGGTCAGCCAAACGCCAGATATTCCATGATCCTTCAGAACCAAGGGTGCGATCACCCGGGCTTGCGTGCAGAATCCTGCAAGATCCTGCGGGGTCCGGCAAAGCCTGATTACCGGTGTCTGTGTGTGCGTGTGCGTGTGCGTGAGCGTGTGTGCGTGTGCGCGTGTGCGTGTGAATGTGCGTGTGAATGTGCGTGTGCGTGCGCGTGCGCGTGCGCGTGCGCGTGCGCGTGCGCGTGCGCGTGCGGCGTGCGCGTGCGCGTGTGCGCGTGTGCGTGTGCGTGTGCGTGTGCGTGTGCTTGTTTTTTTTTTTTGCGTGTGCGTGTGCGTGTGCGTGTGCGCGTGCGCGTGCGTGTGCGTGTGCGTGTGCGTGTGCGTGTGCGGGTGTGTGTTTGTGTGTTTTCCCCTTCCGAAAAATATGGATGCACGATAAGGACACAAGGATTTTGGAAAACCGTGCAGACATTTTTTAAGCGGGGCGCGGCCAACGAACGAGGCCAAGGATGGGCCAAAGTGGAAGGATGCAAGGGCAACCTTGGAAAATTGTGTATTGTTGCTACGCGATTTGACTGCAAGCGCTGCTCAGAAGATGTTTCAGAAGGCGCAAAGGAAGAAATCGGAAGCATTGCCGAAAAAAACGGCACCTCCACTGGCACCGATTCGTCACATTGCCTTGTTTACTGCGTTGGTGTTTACAAGCTCCCGAACTCGGCATGACCTCGCGCCCCACCGCGTGGGCGACCCATCGCTTTCGATGTTACTGCCACGAACCGCGGCCCAGGGCCAAGTGGTGAGCATGGAACTTGGTCTCCCACCCCCTTGTCATCGTCGCGGGCCTTCCAAGAGACACTCGCTGATCTTGTGCGTCGATGTTGCGTCAAACGTCATCCGACTTGAGTCGAACTTGAACTAGATCCGAACTGAAGTCGACCAGATCGGTGACACGGCCCTCTTGGAGGTTCTTCACCACTCTACCATATGGCACGAAGGCTCAAGCCGCCCAGGCTCGAAACCATTCGCAATGTTCTAGAGCCGCTCGCCGCGGGGAGCTGTTGGCGGCGGCGAAGGGAGCAGCGCAGGTTTGCGCGGGAAGCGCGACAGCAATGGCGCCACCTTGTGCTGGGAAGACACCAACTATACAGATGCACCTTTCTTGCTTCGATGAAACCTGGCAACCTCAGTTTCTGCCCCGCGCGCCGCGATGGCGGTCGCGCAATGGTTCGCGCGAGCGCGCTCGCTTGCACCGGCGCAACGTTTTTGAAACGA